TGAAGTCATCTGCTTTATTTTAAAAATTAATGTGGATTTTGAATTCTACTCCATAATATATATCTGTTTTAATGTAAAAATGATGTGTTTTTCCCCAATATCTTTGAGCTACAGAGGTCTAGAAAAATATGCCAAGTTTATACCATAGTTTTGCACCTTCCAAGAAGCACACAATTTTAGCAGCTTAGCTTTACAAGGAATAAACGTAATTATGATATATTTTTTTCCATGGAACCCACATACTTCTTTCTTTTTGTTTGCCTTTCACATCAATGTGATTTTTTTCCCTTTTGCCAATAATGTTGATGCCTGTAATTGTAGTACTGAAGTAAAATAAATTTGGTATTTGCTATACCACACAGAAAAGATCTAACTCTATCAAAGTAGGTATGTGTGTTCTAATAACACAAAAATATGGAAAAAGATATTGGTAGTAATCAAGTTGTTCTTTTAATATTAGCTATATAATTCATTAACTGAATTAGTTTTTTCTTATCTGTATCACTCCAGTTTAAAAAAAAAAAAAAGGCACTCTTTTGTTTTTGTTTTTGAAGAGAAGGGGATCACTTTACAAGGAGACAGTCCATCATCAAATAAAATGAATTATATAGTGTTGACCTATTTTTGTTTTTTGCCATGTTATACACAGTCCTGAATGTGCTAGAAAGTGATTCAAACAGGGCTGAAATGTACATTAAGTAAACAAGACAAGTTAGACTCAAATACCAAGGAAAAGTATTTAAATATGAATAAGAGGTAATTGGCTTGACCTTTTACAATGCTTTGTTTCTTCCTGCAGACGAAATACAAAAAGTATTTTCTCCTAAGGCTTTAGTAAAAAAAAAGGAAATAGATTCTGAACAGAGATTTGACAAATGACAGTCAGTTGTCTTAGAGTACAGGGCAGGTGAAATTTCCAGGCAGGGGATGCAGTATGAAATCGTACACAGAGACAGGATTATTATAAAGGAATAAAAATGGCTCAAGAGACTGTATGTCTGAGTATACTGAAATGAGAACTAGGAGGAAATGAAAGAGGAATGCAAGCAGGCAGAATGTGCTTAAGATCTTTTTGAGTTGAGAATTCTCAGTCTGAATTTCATAGGGAAAGAAAAATAACTAGTCAAAATAATTTGAGAATAGGGATTGCTATTGCCCAAACAGTGAGATAGGAAGAGAATTTTTGGCAACAGTCTTTTAAATACACTGGCAGGAAGAATGCACAAAATCAGGAATAATCAAAATAGAGCAGAGAGATTTTGCTCTTGAAATGGATTGGAAAAAGGAAGTTGGTGATATTACAAAAAATAAAAATGAAAAATAAAATAAAGAAAAAATACATGAAAGGATTTACCAAAAGCCCAGGAATAGGAAACAAACAAATAGAATTGAATACGATACACACTTACTGAGACTGGAGGAACTACAAGATATCTTTATGATTGTTCCCTTCTAATAAGACAATATCCTTAGTGGTATATCAATACTACTACTACTACTACTAAAGATAATGGTCCAGCAACAGCTGCATACTTACTAAGTGCCAAGCGTATACTGTAAACTATACCATTTTACTGGATGCAATGCCTATGTTAACTAATTTAATCTCACTGTAATTATTCTCATTTTACAGATGAATAAACAAAATCTTAGAAGTTAAAATTATTTGCTCAAGTTACAGAACTAATAGGTAGTAGAGCTAGGATTAGAAAGTTATAGTGTCAGGCCTGGCGTGGTGGCTCACGCCTGTAATCCCACCACTTTGGGAGGCCGAGGTGGGTGGATCACAAGGTCAGGAGTTGAAGAGTTGAAGAACAGCCTGGCCAACATGGTGAAACCCCGTCTCTACAAAAAAAGTTCAAAAATTAGCTGAGCATGGTGGCATGCACCTGTAATCCCAGCTACTTGGGAGGCTGAGGCAGGAGAATTGCTTGAGCCCAGGAGGAGGAGGTTGCAGTGAGCTGAGATCGTGCCACTGTACTCCAGCCTGGGCGAAAGAGCAAGACTTTGTCTCAAAAAAAAAAAGAAAAAAGAAAAAAGAAAAAAGAAAGAAAGAAATTTATAGTGTCTAACTCAAAAGGCTGGGCTCTACAATCTACTTTTGTCAGTAGCAGTAGTGGCTAAAGTGTACAATATTACTGAATGTCTCGCTACATAACTATATAAAACATATATGTATATATACACTATATACACATATATAGTTAAATAGCAATACTTTTTAAAAGTTTTTTATTGATACATAATATTTGTACATACTTATGGAGTACATGTGATATATTGCTACATGCATAGAAAGTGTAATGACTAACTTGGGGTGTTTAGGATATCCATCACCTTGAACATTTATCATTTCTTTGTGTTGGGAATATTTCAAATCTTCTCTTCTAGCTATGTTGAAATATACAATATATCATTCCTACCTACATTCAATCTATTCTGCTATCAAATATTAGGGAATACTATTTCTTTAATTTTTTTTAAGAGACAGGGTCTTGCTCTGTCGCCCAGGCTAGAGTGCAGTGGTGTGATCATAGCTTACTGTGGCCTCCTGGGCTCAAGGAATACTCTTGCCTCAGCCTCCGCAAGTAGCATGAAACTAGCTAATTTTTCAAATTTTTTGATGGAGGTGGTCTCACTATGCTGCCCAGGCTGGTCTCAAACTCCTGGCCTCAAGTGTTCTTCCCACCTCAGCCTCCCAACTAGCTGAAATTACAGGTGTGAGCCATTGCACCAGGCCAGAACTTATTCCTTCCACCTAACTGTATGTTCGTACACATTAACCAACCACTCTTCATCCCCCTACCCTTCACCTTTCCCAGCCTGTGGTAACCACCAATCTACACCCTATCTCTATGAGACCAACCTTCTTAGCTCCTGCAATATGAGTAAGAACATGCAATATCTGTCTATCTGTGCCTGGCTTATTTCACTTAATTACCTCCAGTTCCATCCATGTTACTTCAAATGAGAGAATTTATTTCTTTTTTACAGATGAATAGCATTCCATTGTGTATATATACCACATTTTCTTTATCCATTAATCCACTGATAGACATCTAGGCGATTTCATATCTTACCTATTGTGAACAGTGTTGCAATAAACATGGGGTACAGGTATCCCTTTGATATACTGATTTCTTTTTCTTTGGATAAATGCCTAGTAGTAGAACTGCTGGATCACATGTAAATACCTATGGTTATATATAACATATATATAACTGTTGATTGAGGTATATATAAATACCTGTTGATTGAGTGTGTGGTATATATTTATTTATATATAGTAAACATATTATATATAAATATATATATTTTCATGTATAGCACTGTGTGGGTATATATAGATATATTATTGATATCTACTTCTTTCCAAAATGCAAAAATTCATTATACATATTGAACACAGAAAATTTAGAAAAAAAAATTCTGGTAGAAGGCAATCAAAAAGTATTAATAGAAATAAAATGAGCTAATTTAAGAACTGGTCTTTTTTGTGCTATATATATATTTCAAATTACAATACAAATGTTTAAAATGTTATTATTCCACATTAGCTACCTGTTAGTAAATATGCTTCTAGTCAGGAAGCTGTATTTTTAAATCCAAAGATAAATTATTTAGAAGAGCTATTACCAGAAAGTTGCCATTACAGTTGTAATTTGTGTAATTTTCCATCATACTATACAATTTTTTGAAAATAATGAAAGAAAATAAATAATACAATATAATCATAGTTTGTCTTCTTGTATTATTTTGCTCCTTGGACCACAAACTGATACAAACTCGGTCAAATTAAAGAAATATGTTGAGGATTTGATTGACAATACCCGACCGGCTGAGATGACCAATGCCCAATGTTATTCAAAGAATATTCTGGGTTTTATAGATTCACTATTTTTAACTTAAAAGGAAACTAACAGGTTTATATGGTTTGTAATAAACTTGAGTAACATACATGAAGTCCTTACCAAAAGTCCTCAGAGTTACAGAATGAAATTACTTCAGTGCAATTTCAAGTATAAGATTTATAGTGTACTTCTCTTATCTAAGAGGGAAAATACACTTCTTCATGCACATAATCTCACCTTCAGCAAATGTTTCCTTGATCTTCTTTTCTTTCACTTTTCAACCTTTTGCAAAAGTAGATAATACTTACTGACAAAGCTATTCACCCTGAATTAAAATCTCAGAGACATTTTTATTTCCCACATCCTGTTCCTCACAGGAGCCATGGCTTGTCCGTTCTAGCCCTTCAATGATGCTGTACTGCTTACCGCATCAAGACTAGACTCCTTAGCCTGACACTGAAGTCTCAGAGATACCTAGCTTACTGCTCCAGCCTTAGAGTCAACCATTCCCTTCACCTGTCCTAAAACATTCTGCCACTTTGCCTTGCTTATGTCGTTTTCTCTCTGGAAAGCAAACCTCTTTTCCACGTCTGTAAAACCCTAACCTCATATTTCACCTTTGACCTCTTCCATGAAGCCTTCTCTTATCTACCCATTCAAAAGTACTTTCCTCCTCATCTCAACTACAGGACATTATCTCTTCCTGCAGCATTTCTCACATGCATCCTTATTTTATAACACATTTGCGTGTATGTATATATACACACATTTTTTCTCATTTACTATATTTTTAACCACACTCAACCAAAAACTCTCACAATCATTGTCATATAACCAAGAGCCCTATAGTACGATTCCTTTGCCAACAACATCCACTTAAATGTTTATCAAATGAAAGTACAAACATATTATCTGATCAGAGAAATGAAAGCTTTAATAACGTAGCAGTGGTAAAAAAAAATGATGTAAGACAAAATAGGTTATTAAAATGTAGTATGCTGTCAAATATAAGCTAACGGAAACTATTTTCCAGCTTTTCTTATATCAGTAAACAAGCAAAAAATACTTTTATGAATAATGTTTACAGATTCTTTAATCTTTCCATTTAAACCACATAGGCAAGAAATAATCTCAAAGCAGTTATAAATCAATTACCTTTGCTTGCACTTTCTACATGTTCCAGTTCTTCAGGAAATTTTAGGATATCTCGGTAATTTTCCTCACAAATGTCGGCAATAAAATGCATAAGGGTTGTTTTTTGATCCACTGATTTAGTATCTCTGATCTGGAAGAAAACAACAACACATTTTTTGTAATTTTTTAGTAAATATATACTTTTTTAAACAAGTGAAATGAATTTATTATAACCTATTTAAAATTTTTTTAAAACTTTGGGGTAGGTTCTTAATGTGGTCTAGTTGTGGTGCTCTAGATTTTAAAAGGAGCTCCATATTTTAAAAGCAAGTAAGATGACCAATAAAAGTGCCAAATTAAACCTTAATCTGTATTTTCAAAAATGTCTAAATTATTGTGGCAAAATGAACTATTCTTTTCAGGAGAGAAGAACATTCATTTAAGTATTGATAATAGCCCAAATTACCGTGTGCTTATTTTATCATCATCCTGTTCTTTGCTTTATTATAAAAATATGTTCTTAAGAGTTATATTCATTTGTGAGATTATATTTATTTCTAGCCATTGTTGATGTAAATTAATGTAAAGGAGCAAGCACATTTTACCCTCCTCTACTTGCATGGACCATCAGAAAAGAATTCTCAAGGTTGTGCTTATTCTGAGTTATTAAAAAAAATCTCACCATACAATCCTGATAATATGAAAAATTTTATTTGCTTACATATTGTATTTCCTTTTCAGACACACAACAAAAGAGATGCCACAGTTAGAATGGTAAAAATCTTTAAAGCATAGGACACATAAAAAAAGAAAATCTAGTGCTTTAATATAATTCTCATACTAGACTAAGCTGCAAATAAAATCAAGGATTTACTTAGAAACAAGGCATAAATACGGCATAAAGTATCAAGTTTTCTCATTCTTTTGGATGTTTTAATTCTATAATCCTTAGATTATGGCTTTGTCCACTGATGTTCATACTGATTTGGAGTTTTTAGCTTTAAGGATTACTCTGTTTAGAATAAATGAGTATTTTTCACAAACAGGTTTATGAAAAGGCTGTACAGGATATTTAGGTAATTACAGAGTAAATTAATCCTTATTTTTTTAGTGACTAAGAAAGAAAAACATAAACATAGCATTTAATAAACCAGGCCCATACTGGATCTGTTTTGTTCTACAGGTTTTTAGCAACTATTTACATCTCAATGATGTAAATAACTTAGAAGAAATATTAGTCTCAAGGTTCCAACCAACCAAGCAGCCACAGGAGGCATAATGTTGATAGTTCAAGAGGTCACAATGATTTCTTTCAAAATTTCTGGGATTACTTTATCCCACATAGGAAAAATATTAAAAATTTTACATTATCATGCTGATCCACTAAACACTTACAAGTAATTTAAGGTAGAAATGACACAACTCAAGAACAAAAAGCAACACAAACCTCAAGGGCAATTTTTCTTAAGTAAGGATAGCAGCTGTAGAGGAATCAATGGGAAGCTCACATTCCTAAAGAGAGGTCTTTACCTGGGACTACTGTGTGATATGTTTACAAAGTGCATCGTTTTTAAGAGTATGCCAGGTATTCCAAATAAAAAGGAAATTAACATTTTCTTTTTCCTTAGAAGTTCACTACCTACCTAAATCCTAAAATTCTGAAAACATTAAGTGCTTAGAAAAAATTGCAGGTACATCTTCCCAAAGGAAAGGAAATTCCTATGTATTTTATGGACTCTGGAGACGAAAACTGTTTGTTTGTTTGTTTTTAAAGAACACAATTCAAAACAACAAAAACCCACCTACTTTTTTAGGACATCAAATTGTACAAGTACATTATAGTTTGCAATAAAATGCACATGGCTAACACTGGAAAGGAAATAAAAAAAACAGAAAAATAGCACTGTGCTCATATGTCAATTTTATGGGTGATATTTTTTTCTTTGTCACATGTGTTAGATTGTTTTGTATTAAAAAACATTTCAGTTTTTGGCATGCATACTTATAAGAGCTTAATTTTCAAAAATTGTGTTTATTAATAAATATTTATTCAGTATCTGGTCCATTAACAATCTAAATCTAATTTGTTACAAAATTTAGGAGAGTTAATGGTTACATTTTAAAAAGATAAATAAAGCGTAACATCAGTTAAATGTATTAGCATCTTTGATGAAATGATAAAGACTTTTAGAAAGACTCTGCATGTATTTTTTTTTTAGAATCAGAATATTCCCTTCAAAGCATGGGCAAACATGGCCAAATGTCTGTCTTGTCAAGTTGAGAAATATCTTAGTTGGTCTGGGAGACAAGCTGCTTAATGTATTGCAATATTTGTTGTTTTTTTTTTCAGAAAAAACCTCACACTGAGAGACCATTTTAATGGTTCAAACGGGCAGGAAATCACAACAAATGGGTGGTCTTTTAAACCTTTCTCTATGTGTGAGAGACATTAGACCAATTATTTAAAATATATATATAATATTTAAATATAATGGAAAATATTTTTTACTTATTGAAGCTTATTTACTTTATATTATCATGCCTTCAGTCTCTCTTACCAAGTCTATGCCATTCACACATTAACCATTGTATCTCTCTCAGGCCCTATTGCGTTGTTCAATGTCAGCACAGAAGGCAACTAAGAACATCAATTCTACCGGTTAAAGACATTTATCCAATAATTTGCTCTTCTAAGTGTACTAGTTGGATATATACATCTCTTGGGGTAGAACAATCTGAGTATGTACAAGTCATTTCCAAAGTGTTTGAGTTAGTTTACTAAGAAATAGAATTTATTTCCATTTATAGCTGTTTAATATGAAATCATGTTAAAATTTTACATTAACATGAAATATCCAATTAATAGTTGCCTAGATTGCCTAAGTCTTAGTGGTGGTTATACTGTATGCATTTCAAGGTTTCCTCTAGCCAGAAGCAAAGTGCCTTTTTGCATCCTTGTATGTGTTTTTCCTCTCTCCAGCCATGACAGGCAGGGAGAGACACATATATGACTTATTTTTATAAGATGCAAAAAGATGAACAAAATGGCCACTCCACAATCTTCTTTTATATATCTTCAAACAATAAAAACACAAACAGCAGTTCTAGAAATGGGAAATATTTGAAAAAGCTAAAAAAAAGTTTTATGTTATTTTAATAAGCTGAGTTATCATCGGATGATAATGAAAATAAGACAGAGTGAGTCACTGTATCAACTGATCAGGTGCAATCAGTTAATAAACCATATATAGCAATTTTAATTGTAATCATCTGACCAATATTAAATGTTCCACATAAAGATTAATAACTGAATTTAATTTAATTCTATCTACCTAATCTTTAATAACTTTCTAAAATGGTACATGAATACAAAATACCTTTAATAGGACACTATTTCTATAGCTAATTCTGATCATCTCTTTTTCCTAGTAAATACAAATGCTATATTATGAAAGATACTAAATATATTTTATATGTTCAAGTACATCTCCAAAATTTAGTTAGGTATATAGCAAAATTTCTCAATAACTAATTGACACAAAAGAAATTTCTTTATTCCAAATATCCTCATTCAAGCTTGAAAATTTCTTCCATCTTGCCATGTCTTTGAAATTGGGCTGTTTGAGTACACAGAAACCAGCACACAGCCAGAGAGCCTCAGACAACATTTTAATGACCTACGTCAGTCACATTCAATCTTTCTGTGAAGGACCCCTTCTGTAGGTAATTTTCCCTTCTGCTGAGATGTAAGCCTATTTCTTCTTGCTTTGTCCTCAGTGGGAACTGAAAATAACTGGTCACTATGCTGTACATAACAACCTCTCACAGAGTGAAAGTTCCCTTCTCATTCCCATCCTGTTCTCCAAATAAACAACTGCAGTTAATTTAACCTAACTGCATAGATGTTATTCTACAAATGTTTAATTTCTCAATGGTAATTGGAATCCATTCAAAAGATCCGTTGCAAAGGCTCCTGTCATCTGCTGGAAAAGCAAAGTTCTTGATTTTGCATACAAGACCCTCCTTGAGCTAACCTTTGTCTACCTTTCTAACCTGCCTCCTGCTGCTGTCTGCCTGATTACAACTGCTTAAACGTACCACGCAGTTTCATGCCACTGTGCTTTTGCACCAACAGTTCTCTCTGTGTAGACTCCCTTCCTTTTTGTTCCTTTTTATCCACCAAGAAAATACCTACTCGTATTTAAAGACTACTCAACTTCCACGTCATTTCTGAAGACTTCTTTACCTTAGAAGCAATTAATAACTTTTTTTGGCCATCTTCATTCAATGTAAACATTTCAACACAGTAGTCTCTCACACTCAATATGAGATCTTACATGGCTAGAGACTTTGCTTTGGTAATATTTTTGAATCCATGGTGCCTAGGAGGATGTTAGAAAATACTAGATAGTCAATAAATGTTTCAGAATGCAGATTCTTCTTTATATGAACTCCAACTTTTGTGGGCTATAGAGCAATACTCCTAAATTTAATTCTATACTTATTTATATATATGTATGTGTACCTGTGTGTATATATGACCCCACCACACATATAGAGGTTGACTACAAAGGCCAGATTTTCCAGAACACATATTTGCTAGAGTTAGGTGCAAGTGAATGCCAGAATAAAGTTATAATTTGTCACTCAGGAAATGGAGCACCGTACATTTTTTTAGGGGAGGCAGGTTAGGAGCAAAGCAAATATGAATGGAGAAGTACATTCATTAATCCACTGTGAGCTGAGGACTGTGCTGAACACTAGGGATAAGAGATAAATGATGCATGGTACTTTTGAGGCCTTAAGCTTAGAATTTAGTAGAAAATACAAAATTATACAGAAAAGAAACGACATAGGAGAATAATTTGGTGGCAAATGTCAAGGACTGATATACTTAAAATGATAACTAGGGTATGTGTAGAAAAGAAAAAAAAAAGGGCAAATTCAAGAGAGATTGTAAGGAAAAACAGGATTTAGTCAGTGAATATTAAGATGAGGGAAAGGGAAAAATCAAATACTCCAAAAGTTTTAAGTCTCGATGATTAAAAGAATGTTGTATCATGTCCAGAATGAGGGGAATAACTCTAGAGTAAAACTGGCTTTAGGAAAAGGATAGCAGCTCAAATTTTAAACAGAAGTGTTAGCTATGTG